GATTGAGGCCCTTGATTCTCGGGCTGATGTCTCTGGCCTCTCCGATTCTGATTGGTCCCTCCGGTTTTCCCTTGAACGCGCGTTGATGCATCTGCACCGGCTTAATGAAATTTACTGGCGCCAGAGGGGTTCGTCCAACTGGCTTCTAAAAGGGGACTCCCCCTCTGCTTATTTCTTTGCGATTGTGAATGGGAGACGACGCAGATGTCTAATTGATAGCCTGATTATTGATGGGGTGCGAACTTCTGACCAGGGCATCATCCTTAACCATGTGGTCTCTTTCTTTTCTTCCCTTCTCTCTGCCAAGCCTGACCAGGGGTTCAGGCTATCTCCTAACTTCTGGAACCAGGGGTCTTTGGTTTCTCCGGAGGAAAACTCGGATCCGATGATCCCCTATTCTGAAGAGGAAATCTTTTTTGCTATTAGGAAGGCTAATCCTAACTCTGCCTCTGGCCCGAATGGGTTCTCTATTCCCTTCTTTAAAAAGTTTTGGCCTATTCTTAAAAACCTTATCTGCGAAGTTATTCAAGGCTACTGCCTGGGGACAGTTGATATCTCCAGGCTTAATTATGCGGTTATTTCTCTTATCCCTAAGATTAAGGGTGCTGATTTAATATCTCATTTTAGACCTATCGCGCTCATTAATAACTTTGCCAAGTTTCCTGCCAAATGTCTAGCTACTCACCTTACCCCGGTGGCCCATCGCACCCTCTCTCATACTCAGTCTACTTTTATCAAGGGTCGCTTCATCCTGGATGGAGTTCTCTGTCTCCACGAAATCGTTCATGACATTCACAAATCTGGGAACAAGGCAGTTATTCTCAAATTAGATTTTGAAAAGGCCTAAGATTCGGTAAGCTGGGGCTTCCTGAGACAAGTCCTCCTAGCAAAAGGCTTTGATAGTGGGGTGGTGCACCGAATCATGCACTTGGTCATGGGGGTCCATACTGCCATTAATGTTAATGGGCATATTAGTAACTTCTTTAAGAACTCTAGGGGTCTGCGACAAGGCGACCCGGCCTCGCCCATCCTTTTTAACTTCGTTGTGGACGCCCTATCTAACATCCTATCTAAAGCTGCGGAGGCCGGCCATATTTCTCCTGTTAGTTCCCACCTCATTCCGGAAGGTGTTACGCACCTTCAGTACGCCGACGATACTATCATCTTGGCGGAACTAAATGATCTCTGCATCGGCCATCTCAAATTTCTTCTCCTATGTTTCGAAGCTCTCTCGGGGCTTAAGATTAACTTCTCTAAAAGCGAAGTTATTGTCACTGGTGTTTCAGGCACCAAAGCTTTAAGGGTGGCTCGCTTACTAAATTGCTCTTTGGGTTCTTTCCCTATTAAGTATTTGGGTCTGCCTATTAATTCTGACAAGCTTTATGCCAAGGACTTCGCTCCTGTGGTGACCAAGGTAGGTAATCGTGTGATGCCATGGAGGGGCAGCTATAACACTCAGGCGAGCAAAGTGGCCTTAATTAATGCCTGCCTCTCCTCTCTTCCTATGTTCTTGATGGGATTCTACCTCCTTTCAATGGGCACTCATGCTGGTTTTGACAAACATAGAGGGGCCTTTTATTGGAACGCGACGGATAACAAGCGCAAGTATCGCTTGGTTAAATGGGATATCATCTGTAAGCCCAAAAGCCTTGGGGGGGCTGGGCATCATTAACACTCTTGTTATGAACAAATGTCTGATCATCAAATGGTGGTGGAAGATCATGACCATCCCCCACGACAAGCCTCTGTGGTTCAGCATCCTAAAGGCGAAATACTTCCCTTCTTGTAGTCCTATGTTTGCCCGTGCCTCCGGGGCATCTTAGTTTTGGCGTGATCTTGTTAAACTCCGGCCTATCTTTCAAGGCCTTGTCAAGTTTGTTGTTTGCAATGGTAAGTCTACCAGGTTCTGGCTCGACTGGTGGTGCGGGTCTTCCTCGCTGGCCTCTACTTTCCCTGTTCTTTTCTCTTACTGTTCGAACCCTGAGATCTCTATCTTTGAGCTTGCGTCGAATAATTGGGACCTACAGCTGCGCCGTTCTCTCTCTCCCGAAGAGTTGGAAGACTGGCAACGCCTTGCTACCCTCTTCCCTTCGCTCTCGGAGGAGGAAGACACAGTTGTGTGGCCCCACTCTCCCTCAGCCCGCTTCTCGGTTAAATCTCTCTATAGCAAGCTCATTGCGGGATCCACCACCTCCAAATTCAAGTGGATTTGGAGAGCTCACATCCCCCCTAAGATTAAGGTGTTTCTCTGGCAAGCCTCTCGTGGGCGTTTACCTACGGGTGACCAAATTCATAAACGTAATGGTCCGGGCTCTGACTGTTGTGTTCTTTCTGGAATGAGAGAAGATACACCTCATATATTCTTTAACTGTGTCTTGGCTAAGTTGTTTTGGTGTTGCATCAGATCCTGGATGCATGTGTCCTGGGCTCCGACCTCCTTCGCTGACTTGCGCGCCTTGGCTAATTCTTTGGTTGGGGCCTAGAGGAGATTGTTTTGGGTCGGCTTTGCTGCCATGTGCTGGTCCCTGTGGACGACGAGTAATAAATTTACTATCGAACATGTTTTCCCTGCTAAACCTGGTGACTGCTTATTTAAGACTTGTATATTTCTGCAGCAGTGGAGATTATTGACTAAGGAGGAGGACTGGGATGCTTTTGACGCCATGTTGGCCAAGATCCGAAATTCTGCTATCTCCATCTCTCCAGTCCAAGCGGGCCCATAGACGTTGCTGCGTTGCTTCGTTATCTTTTCTTCCTCCGGCCTGCATGTCGTATACTGGCCTGGGAGCCATGTACTTAGACATCCCTCTTGGTGTTCTGGGTTGATACTTTGTGATCGTGTGCTGGTTGTTTGGGTCTATGTTAACTCTGCCTGGTGGCTTTATCTATAAAGTCGGGCTATGGCCTTTTATCTAAATAAAAAAAGACGTAGCAGGGTCTCGAACTGTGTGTCTAAGGATCGAAGGTAAGAGGAGGTAGGGAACACGATGTTTACCTAGGTTCGGGCCCTCTTGATGGAGGTAAAACCCTATGTCCCGCTTGATTGACTTTGATGAGTATAGGGATTACAAGAGTTGATCTACCTCGAGATCGTAATGGCTAAACCCTAGATGTCTAGATTGTATGATTATGACTTCCTCTACAGACTAAACCCTCCGGTTTATATAGATACCGGAGGGGGCTAGGGTTTGTACAGAGTCGGTTTACAGAGAAAGGAATCCTCATATCCGAACGCTAAGCTTGCCTTCCACGCTAAGGAGAGTCCCATCCGAAGACGGGGGGAAGCCTTCTATCTTGTATCTTCACGGCCCATTAGTCCGGCCCACGTCATATAGCCCAGACATCCGAGGACCCCCTAATCCAGGACTCCCTCAGAAACACCTTCTCAACCTGAGGCATAAAGAACCGTGACTGTGGATCGACCGTTCCACACAAGTTCACTATGGGAATGGTGAATACAAAGTCTTCTCTAGAACATCTAGAGTGGTTTACAACACACTCTCCAGCAATAGCGACAACAATAATAAGAGGCAAGATTTCAGTAAAGCGGAGGTTACACAGCTTATGCCCCCTTTAGTATTTCGCAAAATGCTCTCAAACTGCTGAACCAAACAACACCAAATTTGGCATACAAGTAGACACACTAGTTTCTGAGATCCTCTCGAAAATTTCAGCTTAGTTGGACACTATTTGCCTACCTAGTATGTTCGTCTCCAAAAAATACTTTGTGTTGAAACTGCGGCTGTCTAAACCTACAAATCACTCTCAAATCTGATGCTCCACTGACTCAATTCTCAAATCAGTTAAGCAGATCGAAGTACTCAATGTAAGGAATGGGCGCACCAAATTTGGTGCCAATCCAAGCACTTTAAAATTTCAATTACTAGTTTGAACACTGTCTAGTCACGTGCAACGGGTCTGGATATAACC